TAAGACTCTTGAAACGTGCTCAGTGCTGCTTGTGTAGTCTATACTTTTTACTCTGGTGTTGTTTGGTATTTGACACTATGTTGGGAGAAAACTCTTTTAAGTATAAGTATGTTATCATTGTGTACTTGTCCTGCCTTGTGTTCGACAACCCTCAACGGATGCTGTGAGACATGCAGGACTAAATAAAAGTATTGAATTTGGGTATTGTCCATTCAAAATATGTTTGTATTTTAGGATAAAAGAACATTTTCACATCTTTGTATGCCTTTAAAGGAAATTGGTAGAAAACATTCAATGGTGCACAGTAAGCATCTCACCCCCAGGTGTCCCTTTCTCTCGCCCCTCCACTCACATTTTCCCACAATATGCCATACCCCTTCTTTTGCCGACCACTGGCATCTTTCACCACCCACATTAATGCACAGCTTCTTCCTGGCCATCTCCGCGGTACAAACATAGATGGATGCCAGTCCCGGCCAATGGCGGAGCGCAGTCAAGTTCACAGCCATGAGACGAAAGACTGGTTGAATGCATCACAACACACAAAGCCATACACGTATCACAGTGGCTCATTCAGCAGCACAAAAGCGTACGGAGACCCTCCTGGAGCTGCCAGGGCTTGTGTGATGTATCATTTAATGTCACCATTGTGTGGCCTTGTCTTCATGTTGACAGACGCCTTCTGCCTCTATGTCGGCAGATTCCCATACATCCACGGCCCTTTTATATATATCGGAATGCTCCAGCAGCTTTTAAAGACTACCCCATTAATTAGGAGTTGTTAATGAACAGGTCTGTGTTCCTGGGATTTTTTTTTTTTTTCGATGTTATCAAGTGTGAGTATTGCATGGGCACGCATCATAAACACACTAAGTGACCTTGGAGCACAAGATACATATATTTGCATCATAAAGATCAATCTGGGACTTTAAAATTAACCTCTCACTGTTTAACGAAGGAGCAATTTTTGTAAAGAGAAAAATTGAAATGATCTGATCTGCTCACTGCACATTTAACTTCTGTGTATGATAGTGTGCTTTAGTGCAGGAGCTAATTAGAATGAGGAATACTTTTGAACTTCAGCATGAATAGATATTAGCTCCTCGCCAGATGCGGAATGCTGCTTACTGTATAAATAGCATTTGTGCCCACCAATTTGAAGGGTGCTTTTCTCTAACTGTGATTTCTAGTGCCAATGCGCTGGCACCTGCTGCCCTTGCAGTGTGAAGTCAGTGCCAGGATGGGCAACCAATCGTCCATCTGCTCCATCGAAAGATTCTCATTCCATTTAGTTGACTTGATTTGTGATTTGGCGCTTGGCTGTGGAAAGCGGTGGCTGTGAGCTTTGCCTCGTGAGATGGCGGGGAGGGGGGCAGACTGATAAAAATGCTGTGTCACAAAAGACAGATGCCAAAGAGGACAAAGACAGATGCGAATTTGCTGAAAGTGTTGACATATTTAAGTGAATGTACATCCACTTAGGGGAGAAAAATGTGCAGACATCTGAAGTCACCGGTGAGCACATTGCAACTATGTTGTTGACCACAATTAGTAGTAGATATTAGCACAGGGAGAAACAAATGCCACATTAATTGCCCACATTCCTCTAGAAATGAGCTCATTTTCATGTCTTTGGAGTGAATTCAAGCATGTAATTGTACATATTTATGAAAGATTGGTCCATAGCCAGGTGCACTGCGGCCGTGAGGAGGTCATATCCTTTTGCCATTAATCACTACTGACAGCTTATGATCTGCACGGGAAAACAGTGTTGCTTTTTTTTTTTGTTTGATTGTGCCTAGCCCACTCATATTTGCACGTGTGCTAGTTGACTGAAAAAATGTGTGTCTGATAACCGAGCAAGATGGCCTTGTAGCGACCTGCTTGTGGAGCCCTGTCTTGTCCAGGGAAACCAAGACAACAAGTATATTAAAAAATGAGATTTATTTGAGAAATACATAATGTGTGTTTGTGTCAGTTGCTACAAAGGTTGAACAAACTTTAATGTTGATCGCTACTAAATTACATTTGCTTGGGTCCTTCATTTGAAAGAACGATAAAGATTCTTAATCTTTCAAGATTTTCAAAGTTCTTCACAATTCCAAAGTGACAATGAACATTTCATTCGTTTTCTCTCTGGCATAAGTGTTAGCAATGTGTGCGTGTGTGTGTGTGTGTGTGTGTGTGTGTGTGTGTGTGTGTGGCTGTCTCCCAGTGTTTCCGCTGTCGAGACTCTCGTGCCTGACAAGCGCACCACATTTAAAGGGAACGAAACAAACTGCTTTGATTGGTCATGATTGAAGGCGGCTGTGACCACTCCCACAGCGGCGCAGTTATGCCATGCAACACACAGGAATAACACGAATCATGAATTGACCTAGGTGGGGTTACAAACCCTGAAAACAAGTTAAATTTAATTACCTAAGGTCAGCAGAAAGCGCTGAATGTTTTGCAACCCTTACTTAAGCCGGAGTTTGGCAACAGGATTCATGTATTTTTTTTTTTAAGTAACTGAGAAATGAAAGAATGTCATCTTTCAATGTTGACAAAAGAGAGAAAAGCAATCCTCTGTTAGCATCTTTGTATGGGCCACACTTAAATGAGCAGTTTTGAGAAATGTTGAAGAAATCCAACATCAGTTGTTGAAATATGTTACTTTGTTATTGAACAGAAGAGTAAATGAACAAGGGTATGGTCACAGGGGTTTAGCGTTTTTGTTATATATTTGCATTTCACAGTGATGAAAGCGCCTGTGTCTCCTCCTTCGCTCACCCGCCTGTGAAGAGCCAAGCGTGTCGGCTCTCCAAAGCGTATTGTTGAACCGAAACATTTGCTGTTTGGATTTCATTGAATACTAGTGATCTTTTCTCCCACTCTCTCCTCAACATGAAAGAGGGCTAGTTTGGTTATTTGCATTTTATGCCCGAGTGTATTTTTCCCAATGGGAAGAGTCATTTTCTGAGTTGTCCTGGAGTGCGTCAGTATTCCTTTTCATCTCCACCTCAACTTCTCTGCAACCACTTATTTTCCTCTCTTTTCCAGCGTGTCTCTCTGTGATGTGGGCATTGTTGGTGTGCATTTGTTGGCGAGCATTTGCCAAAAAATTCTCTCTGGATTGAACTCGACTTCTTTCTGGCTTGTAAGATCCCACATTAGAGTTTTTTTGTTTTTGTCGTTGTTGTTTTTTCTCAGGAGACAAATACTTCACATGTTCTCTTAGAACCCACAATTTGATGTTGTGCGTCAGCTTCTGTTGACTGTCGACTGCAATTGTGTTCCTTTCCAAATAGGATTTGTGTTGAAAGCAAGTATTTTCTTCTATAGAAGTCTACAATTATTGCCTCGAGTGCTGCATTAAGTGCCATAGCCAGTTTAAAAGTAAGAAACGTGCACTTGTGTTTCATTGTATGCTTCCCAGAGTGTTTGCTAACGGTAAACACGTCACACTGAAGGGATCAACAATGCAAAGCCCTCAACAAAAGTGTTTGTGGGTTTTTTTTTCCCTGAATGTATTTAAGAGTGACTTGTGGCCACATACTAAGGGCTTGTAACCAACGTGATTATCTGTAAATGTGTCATTATACACTGCGGTAGTGTCTTTGTATGAGCAAAATGTTGCTTTGCCACACGCGTCGTTAATCGCATGTGCTCATACAGCATCACATACGTTTTCACACGAACATCGTCGTGAGTCAAGTGGTTCTACGGGAGAAGCTTTTACGCCCACTTCTGTACAACTGTCGCCCTGTTGTCTCACTGCACGAGCATCCTGCACATGCGTGTGAAAAGAAGTTATCTACAGTTATATGACATATCTGCCATACGTTGGAGCTAAATTAGAAATTTTGTGAGACTTTACATGTAAGGGATATCATGACACCCCCCCAATGTTTGTGCCCATTCAGAATTCCACAGCAATCCACTTGGTTGTCTTTGCTGGTAGTTGGTAGTCTTTGCACAGTGCAGTTTACAAGTTGGTGAACATTTGGCGAGCAAGTGAATGAATGCAAAGCACACATACTCACGTGCAGGTGGCAGAGTTGAATTGGAAGATTTATAGTGCTGCCAACGTCACATTTACGTAAACTGCGGGGTCAATGTTATTACAGGCGGCAACGGCTGGAATGATTTCCCTTGATGTCATTTGTTTCGAGTCGCGCACACACCATTTTGCATAATGTTTTGAACAGTGATAGGCGGGATATAACGGCTTCGGTGTTATTAATCATTCCATGAGCATGATTATGTTCTCCGTGTGTTCAGTTACGACTGAGGGGTGCATTGGGGAAGGGCCGGGTCATATGCGCAGGCGATATAGTTCACAGTACATCTTTATAGTTGAAACAGACTTTTTTATTAACCGTCCTGTTTGCTGTGCGTGCATGCTGGCCTCCAAATGTGGACTTGGAGGTGTAGGAGGATGATGAATTCCCAGAATTATCACACAATTATCTTTTGCATCTGAATATTTACCGCAGCTGTATATTTACCACGAGGCCCAGATACCTCTCTGCTGACACGACAGCCATCTCGTTTCAGTAAAATATTAACGCTCTCGAAATGTCTGCGTAGCTATTGATGAATCAGCCAGTACCGCGCCTTGGCCCGATGTGACATGAAGATTATGCACATGATGTAATTTCTCCGGTACAATCAAGGGCGAACATGGATAAGAGCAATGGTTATGTCAGGTGGCACGGAACGGGAGAATGACACAATGAATGAGGAATGGACAAAGAAAGGCAGAGAAGGAAATAGGCTTTATCTGCAAGGGTGAATGAAAAAAAATCAAATCAAATGTTGGCATACCAGAGGATGGAACAACATCACTCGGTTCACTATTGTTTTGGGGCAATATCCAGCGATATTGGCCTTAAAAGTTCAAAAGGCGTAATCCTGCGCTGGTGGCACAATGGAGGGCTACAGGTGCAGAGGTTTTGTTTTCAGTTGTGTAAAAAACAGACATTCATGTGATCACCATCTTTCTGTGTTTCCTCCAGGTGGGATGCCAGAGCATCAGTTTAGCGGCACCCAGTTTGTCTGCAGTGTGGTTGCTTCCCATGTGAGCCACCAGCCTTCAACCAGTTTCAGTTTTGTCTGGATCGCACCACCCCCTGGCACTGGCTGCGTCAACTTCTTGTGAGTCATTTTTTGTGTACTGTGTGTGTGTGTATGTTTTCAATGGCTGAAAGAGGTATGGCAAATGAATACCCAGGTTTGTTCAGACATGCGTATTCCAACCAAGACATGCAGACAGTACTATTCATCATTGCGATGTCTGGCCTTGTTTTGACCCAGCGGCTGTGGGAATACTTTATGAGCTGACAGAACGGGTGTTCTTCCCTCCGTTGGAGCACAGACTGGATGCTAAGCAGGCTATGGAGTCAGCTGGAGGGCACTGGGCTACAAATGGCCACCTCTTATAATGTTATATACAGGGAATCTCTGCCCAATCAATCGTGTGTCATCATTGGCAGCGATATGCCAATTTTACTGTAGAGCTGGTATTTGCTAAAATTCCTGTATTTTATTTTATTTATATTCGATAAGTGATACTTTAATTGTTATCATATTCATTTTCACTTTTATTGCTGAAAGGTAAGAGGAAGTGAACATTTCACTCTTTAGTGACAAAGGATGCTTTTGACTTCACTCTTCCACTCGATGTTCCTAATTTTGCTTTCAATGAAGCACCAAAGCTCTGAATTTGAAGCCTCAAAGCTTCATGAAACTTCACCCGCCCATCTCTACGGATAACTGTGTGATGACTCGAAGCAGAAGCTCCACTTTGTGTTCAATTACCCTCCATTATTGCAATAAGTAATCTTCGCATCTTCTTTTATACCTTCGCTTCTTCTCCTATTTGGAGACTTCCTGTGGCTGTGCTACAGCGCCATTTCAGACTGACACATTACAGCCTTTCAGCATCCTCAGCGCCTTCTGGTGTTCACACACATTTTTTAAAATGAATCAGTGTTAATCAGATTTTTTTTAATGAACAATTTTGGCTCCATTTTCGTGTGGACATGGCTTGAGAGAAAGCAAGGGAATAAATACAAACAAATTGACGAGACAACGAGGCACACCCCGACAAGACACGAGTAGCTGGAGGGAGCTGATTGCTTGCTACCAGGAATAGGGCTGACGAGAACAGGTGAAAATGAAAATCTAACTAGTACACATGAAATAGGGCACAGGAGGTCATGGCAGAGCATAAAACAGCCAAAATCAAATCGAAACTACGTTAACAAAAAGACATCGACATATAGGGCAGCATCCTCAGATCTCTGTTGCATTCTTTTTAACAATTCAATCATCTGAAAACCATTTCTGTTTAATAATGACATTTATTTTAAAGATGATCAATAGAGTCATGAATGAGCTGGAGCCGATCCTCTGGGATTGTGGGCTTGGAGCGCCGTGCACCCTAAAATTGTTTGTCGGCCAATAGCGGGGTATCATATAATACTGTACAGTTAGTATATTTGTAATACTTTGTGTGTTCTTTTCATCGTTAGATTTCTTGAATAGCATGTTTAGTCTCATATTGCTTTATTGCAATTGTGAGTGACATGTTATCTTTTGCCTTCGGTAGTCACACACAAATACACATGTGGTCTTTTCCGTTCAGTAGGCGTGCTGTCAATTCAAGCCACATGCCTTTTTAGTCAGAAGCAATTAGCCGCTAGTGCTGGAAACAAGTAGATTAAAAAATAAATAAAAAATAGGACCAGTCAAGTGCTTCACACAGAGTGCATTCTGTCAAATAACATAGAAGTACCACTCAAATGAGAGAAATTTCACACAGATGAAAATTCAGTCACTTGATACACATCAACTGCTGTTTAATGTTTGAGCCTTCCTCAACTAGCACAATAAATGACTGCTTTTTTCTACTCCCCTCGGCGGGTGTCCTCTTAAAAAAAAGGAAAACAAGCCAATTTCACTTCAGTGTTTCAGAAAAAAACAGAATGAAGCATTTTGGCAGTAATCGCAAAAAGCCGAAATTAATGCACTTGTCTGACAGAGACTTTTATGGTCAGGCTGACGGAAAAAAAAAAAAAAAGATTCCGCGGGGGACTTTGGTGTAGCCAAACAGATTTACTGGATTTCTCTCTCTGCCAGCAAACATATTAACTGTTGCGCACATGTCAGCTTATGAGGATGGTTGTAATTTTGTGTTGGTGTGCGTTGTTTGCTGCGTGCCAGTATTTATGACAATGAAGTGATGTGTTCCCGCTGATGACGGAGGGCCACGACTGTGTCACGACAGGGGGCCCCCCCGGTTGACCTTATCAAAGTCATTCAGTCGCACTCTAAATAACGCACGCACACGAGTTCCAATTCAGAGCCTCCATCTTCACGAGTAAATTGTCCCCCGCAGTGACACCTTCCTGGTGTTCCCTCTTGGGAGGAATTCAACAGGTGACCTTGGCGGCTGCGTTGTAATTTTGTCTCTTTTTAGTTTTATTTGATATGTGGCAGCCTGATGACATGACACCTCTCTCAGGTGTAATGGCAACTTTAATCAAGCTTGAATTTGATAGTCAACGGTGGGAGAAAATACAAGTGTCTCTGGCCATGTAGGGGTATTTTTTAAACAAGACATTTATTAGTAACTTGATATACAAATTTAATTTGTTCTGTGATCACGCTTGCATCACAAAACAAGTGGATCTCAAATCACTTTTTTCCTTTGAAATGAATGGAAATTAATTTCCTTTTTCTGTTCCAGTGTTTTTTCCAAAAGGAAAAATAGCAATCTACGAAATGAGACTTTAAAAAACATTGTTACAGCATAAATTTATATCATGTAAAGAATTTTGCAGCTTTACAGTCATGATGAAGTCATTTTAGCACCTTCTGATGTACACGACTTGTGGGTGTCAGTATGATACAGTCACGGAGACACAAACTTGAAGAGTTTTACAACACTACTCTTAGTGACTCAGGAACTTGCAGTAATAATTGTCATTTTAAGCAGAGGATAAACAACATATGCCTCTGAGTTTTGTTTATAATGTTTGGGTGAAATGAATGATAAATAAAAGGGTTTGTTTACTCCCATTCATTGCAACAGTGAACTTTAAACATCTGTTCAGACAAAATTGCTGTTTGACATCCCAGGATGAGAATGAGCTCAAATTGTTGAAAAAAAAATAAAACAATTTAAAAAATGGTGGTGGGTGCCTCTGGATGTAACACAAATTACACTTGATCATGTCCTGCCCTTGCCGATAGCACTTGGTTTCTGATTGAGTGTCCACGCAGCGTCCGTGAGTGTTTGAATTAAAGCCACAGACACCCAGCGTCCTTCAAAAAGGCCAAAGCCAGTCTGTCACTGCATTAAAATGTGACTGCGGCGCAGTTTTATAGCCGATATTGTGGGAAGGTTGGTGGCAGCATAGCGCTATGAGGAGCATGATGGACTGCATGGACGCAGACGGCCAAAAGAACTCATTTTCTACGGGGTTGTAAATTACCTACGGAAGGTAAGGGGAGGCCTTGGAGGAAAGGGGGGGAGAAGAACAAGGTGTTCGTATACGCAGAGATCAAAAACACAACTCACACTTCTGGAACTCAAACTACTTTTACAGGTCGGATGTATCTAGTACCTGATTTTAAATCCAGATGCCACCATTCTAATTTTTGTTGCATTTAGAGCGTGAGCACAAAGAAGTTGTAATTAATGCGTTTGTCCACGGTGGCGTAGTCAACAAAACTGACCCACATTTGATTCTTTGTGCTCTGACGTGACAGTCCACGCCTCTTGATCACTTAGCGAATGCTTGGCTGCACACCATTCAGGTGAAAATGCTTCGTAGTTTCTTCTGTTGAATGCTGAGACATCTGCTGTGTCTCCTCCTTTCTGTGTGGCTTTATCCCGCAGCCAAATGATCAATTAATGTCTGTGTTCCTTTGGCCTTTCATTCAAGAGTTTTACCGTGTCAGTAATCACCTCAATCTGCTGCCCCCATGAACACATGACAGGCTTGATAATAGACAGCTTCTGATTCCGTTCAAGGGTCAGAGTTCAGACCTCCAGCTGACAGATGACCTATTCCACACTTAATTGCACCAGGTGATAGGCCTGTCATTGATTTCCTATATATTCTAATCAATAACCGAGTCCATATTAACAGGAAATGAGTAATTAAGGTCCTCCCCGCTTCATTAAAAGTCCTGGCCTGTGGCAATCTGACAAATCGACTGAAGATGATGTGGTAACAAACATGAGCGATGGTTTAAGGGAATCACACGAAAGATGAAGAAAGTAAGCAGGATGGCATCTACATTGCATCATTTAAAAAAAAACATTGAATATAGTCAACACCGACAGTAGATTTAGACATGTTCATACAGTGTATCATTGATGACAAAGTCTTTGTCATGCTTTAGGAATCAAAGCCAAAGAAAAACGCCATATTTTGACGTACTCTTTGAAAGGTCTGAGTTTAGTGTGTGTAAACTCTACACAGGAAGGCCAGGACCGGAATCGAACCCTGCACCTCTGCACTGTGAGGGCAGCATGCTACCCAATCAACCACCATGCTGCTACTTTTGGAATAAATGGTGCCCAACCCCCATCACATGCTCAGACTTAAGTCCTTGATGCCCATCTACCTGAGATCTTGTGAAGTATATTAAGATATCATTCGATATACAGTACTTTGGGAAAAAAAAACGTTAACTTTCAGTTGCACATGATTAAAATGTACGTAGCTGAGTTAAGTAAATCCGATGGAGCCAAAGGATTATTTTTCATTCAGTGTGCTACGAATATTTCTATGGCGTTGTACCCGAAATATTCAGCAAATTCAGTTGTATGCGACCTCAGGGAATTTCTATTTTCCGAAGGGACTGACGCAAGACCCCAGTAATTGTACATACACCTGAAACACACTCACATAGATCCAAGCATACTACACCTCAGTGCGGTGATCAATACTGTTGCAATGCGTCCTCATCTCATTCACACCACATTACCGTAAAACAATCTCGCTATGGAGTCGCGTTCCCACCTGCTGGCAACTATGAATTCCAGATGAAAGAGAGTACGGAGATGGGGAACATGAACCCCCACTTCATTTTAAATGCAACAAAGTGACACATTCCACAGGGGAGAGGAATCAGCTCCA